GCAGAGCTGCAACTGCAGTCTTTGTAGATACAACCACTACTGCCTGGGCAGTGCAGCAAAGAGCGCAGCTGAGGTAGTGAGACCCTCAGCCACAGATTATATACTTTCCAGTTCAAATAGTTCATGTTGAAACTGAATTAAGTCCGTAACAGAGATAATTAAACCTCGCTCAGATACGGCAACAAGAACTATAGGCACATTTAGACATTCTCTGAGGGAACAACAGCAGGTGGCCCATTTTTTTGGGGTGATTAAAAAGATGGCTCTACTATAGAATGTGTAACTTGGAAGCCTCAGTTCAGTCTTAGTGGACACAAGATTCTTCTAGAGCATACTCTTTTGTAGTACAGAGCCGCAGAGACCCTGTGTAAGAGTGACAGTCATGATACTGGGTGTTGAACATGTTTAGTAGATGGGGTTAGATGTATTTAAAGCGGGCAGGGTGGGGAAGAGAAATCATGTTGAACTCTCTGGGACTGGCTTAGTCTCTGATAGTATGCAATTAGACTGTAAAATATTAGAAAGTATTAAAAAAAGGAAATGTGCAGGGAAAGAACAGCATTCCAAGAGGGGAATGGGGATGGGGAAAATTCAAAACAGGAGGAGGAAACAATAGGTATGCACTTCTACAAATGTGTGTTTTCATGCACTCTAGAATCTGCATAGCATCAACTGAAATTAGTGACAAAGTTTCATGAAGATGTACTGGAGCACTGGCATTCATCTCTCTTCACTTGGGTCGCTTAAGCTGATCCAGTTCCCACTAGTTTTTGTCAACTTCACTGCTGGCTGCAAATACCAGAATTTCAGGAACAGTAGCACAACTAGAAACCTCTGCACCTGTTGATGCAGGGCAGGGTAAATGCTCCTGTATGTTATCTTATGAGGAGAAATTCCTTTCTATCCAAAATAGTAATTGACTATGGCCCTACTGTAATACATAACATAATTCTCTGTGTGCTTGTAATGTGTGCTTAAGAGACTCTGTAAATAGATGAACAGCAGGAAAAGACCAGTATAATGCCTGCGTCTCAGCCAGTTGTACTTCAGCTGGTTGTGCATTTATCTTTTTTTTTCTTGATTTATTGTCCGAACACTGCTTAACTATAACTGGATTTTAACCTCATAACAGCTGCAAGCATTATTCACACTTAAGACAGTGGGATCTGGGGCAGGTTCAGGTTAGGTAATTTGTGTGGTAACGTACTTGCTTTTCCCTAAATGTGTGGGGTTTGTTGCTTTTTTTTTCTTTCTTTTTAAAAATACTCATGGGGTCAATCCTAATAATTTCATAGGATGTGGTATCACTGCACATCACACAAATTGACTTCATGCAAGCTTTCTTGGAACAATTTGTCTGGTTTTCTGTGCATGTGTGTGTCTGCACAGATAGCCTTCCAGGTTATGGTCTGTCCATATTCAGTGTGAGGTGCATGCCTTTTTGACAGCTTGGTCAAGTAGATTGCTACATCTCTGAAATGGAAGAAGAATTATCTTGAGAGAGATTGAAAAATGTTACATTTTATCTTTTTGACCAGAAGTTATTATGCATCCCCCATGGGGAGACTCTGAGAAAACTTCAGAGTAACAAAATATTTTTTACATTTGATAGCCTAAAATCACCAGCAGGAAAAACACACCAGTTTAGTGATGAGAGTAAACTCCACAGATATTTGATCTATCAAAGAAGTATCATTTAAAGTGATGGTATGATAAGCAAAGAAACTGTGGCTACACTATTCAGCTACTCCTTGTTGGAAATTAAAGCCTAGATTTAAAATGTAAATCTACCTTTCAGCTTAGCCAAGCCTAGTGATATACCAGTCCCACGTACCATCAAAAACATAACTCATAGCATCAGGGTTACAGAATGGTATCCTCTTGGTCAATATTCTGCTGTTCGTGGTTAAAAACTTGCACTGCACTGAGATTTCATATATTAAGCACTTTTTACATTGGAAAGTAGGTGCTCTCCATGTGTGTTTAATATTTTTATCCATATAGGTATTTGTAAAGCATGGTCAGCAGGCTAAACAACTTAGTGTGTCACTGGAACATCAAAAGTTTAGAAGACTGATTATAATAATATGATATCTAATTTGCCTGGATTTTTGCCCTTCTGATAGTCAAACTGCCTTATTGTTGCTGGGTAAGAGAGTTAATTTCATTGACTAGACTAGACTAGAACCTGTGTGAATTCTGAATCTATACACTGATTTCTGGGTTAAGCTTTCACACTTAAAGTGGAATTCAGCATGTAAACCTGTAATGCAGGAGTTAAAGAACTTGTCATGATTCCATATTACAATGGCAGTTATATAAAAGCATGAGTACCTGATGGCCTGATAGTAATTACTGTAGAAATGGTAATGAAATGTAGGTTGGTGAAAATACAGCTTCATATTGAGTTATTGTTCTTTATGCAGTTGTCAAAGTAATTGTGTGTTGCATGGGCAGAAATACCAATAGTTTTTAAATGGTTAACTTTCTGGGCATATAATACTGCATTTGTAAAACTCTTCTTAAACTCTTCTTGCACTTATGCATGTGTTCTACTAGGGCTGAGTATAGATGCCTCCTAATGGCTCATCCTCCTTCTTGACTGCCAGTCTCCTGGCTAGCAGATACCCTGGTTCTGCACTGAGGTTTCAGATGAGAAAACATTCCTTGGGTTAGTTAAGGGTCACCCTGAGTTGGGATCTGTGTGTTCCATTAGCATGGCACCAGGAGGCAGGGCTTTGTAGGCTGACTTTCGGTGCTGTGTAAACATGGCAATAGTAGTTCTTGGGCGGCAAAGTATAGGCTGACTTGTTTGGGTATCATAAACTAATGTGTCTTTTTGGGGAAACACGCTAACACCTGTACAGGGTCCAGTTCTCCATGACCATCTGGACTGATAAAACCAGAAGTTTATAAAGGGTAAATATTTTTATTTCTTTTGTGGGCTAGTATTTTACACATGTGATTGTATATATGAAATCCCATACTGGACACTGTTGTATAGGATTGTTAAGGCTCCTAAAGATTCCTTGTCTTTCAAAATTACTTTTAAGATTTCTTGAGCAGTCTTCCCCATTATATAATGCTAAATTTGCTGGTTAAATTTGGAAGACACCAATAGGAGTGATATCTTCTAGCTTGTAAGTAACTTCAGTGCGTATTAGGAAATGTTGCTGAAAATTTCTCAGCCTTGTTTACAGACTTGACTTCTGTCTTTTTCTGATTATCCAGTCTCTTGTTTATCCTTATTTGACTAAAGCTTTTTTATTTTTCTATGTTCCTCTTCCCTTTGAAACCTAGTCTCCAAATTACAAAGAGCAAAGTCATATTTTTGATTGACAGCTGTAATTTGAGGAAAATATCCATTTAAGGGAACCCTTTTGTGACGGCTCAGAATATTTGCTTTGTTAAGATTCAGCACCCTTTCTCACAAATGATCCGATATTTCTTAAGAGGTTTACCTTGTCAAACATTATGAAAATGTAAATAAAGTAAATAAAATGGATTTGAAGCTGCAGGGTGCCTTTAATAGGTTTTTGTCTCAGATGTGGAATAAATATGAACTTTATCTAAAGTGCAGATTTCTTTGAGATTGCAGAAAATGACAGCTATTCTTATGCTGTTCACTACAGCTTCGTCTGGCTTTAATTTTTGGAGTCAAGGGGCAAAAAGTGATACCTATGGATTTTGTGTTGAGAGGAGGTTCATAAATTATGGATGAAATGGGACAGTTATTGGTATTTAAAGGCATCATTCTTGTAGATGAATATTAATAGGGGTAAAAACCTGAAGGAATTCTGAATAAAAACTTTCTGAAATAGAGCAACTGAACAAAGATTACATTATTCAATAAATAATAGCACTGATACTGAAAAGATGGATTACTGTAGTATGGACATTTATGAGCCATATTCTGCCTTCTGTTATCTAAAGGAGTGATTCCTTGTAGCACAACTCCTTAATTGTTAAGTCAGCCTTCAGAGTTAATTTTTAAGGTGGTCATTGCTATACTAGCAGCTGTAATGAAACCTTTGTGTCATTAATTTATGCCACCTACTCTAACCTATGCCTGAGACAGATTTATATAGTAGTTAGATTGCCCTGGGCTGGCCAACAAGCAATCAGAATCAGGCAAACATGTTAGAGCTGTCTTCTCCGGTAGAAGAGGGAAGTGCAATATCCACTCCCAAAAGATTGAATTAATTTACATTTTGCATAAGATTAAAACCAGGTTTGTTTCTTTTTTTTTTCTTTGATTTTATAATCAAGGAATAGCGTAATGAAAATATTCCAAATAAAATAAATATGCAAACTTCTAAGCAAGAGTAGACTGACAAGGACAGTGGAAGGCAAATAGAAATGTATGAATGTACAAGATGACAGTGAAAGTCAGAAGAAGAAGAAACAAATTACAGATGTAGCTTATGGACTTGAGGTATGCACGTCTAGCTGGAACCAGTATCCATTCATGTCACTTCTTCCTCTTCTTTCCAGCTCCCTAAACAATAATTAACAGTTCTGCTTCCTCACCTAGTCCAGGTTCTAACCTTTGGCTATGAATTCAGGTCTTCTCCTGGCTTCAAGTATGTATGTTTTGCACAGTACAAGTGTACTCATTTCACACTGAATACTTTTAGGTTGCTTTGTTTTATTGCCGTAGTTTTCTAGAGGATGTGGTAGGGATCGCTACTGGATAAGGATTTAATAGTGTTTTTTAAAGAAATTGCTGAGTTTCCCTATTGTTTCTAAACCTCAGTGAATGATGTGTAACTGATCATTTTAGAATAATTCTGGTTATGTGAGTTCTCAAAGATTATTGGTTTCAGATAATTTATTCCTACTTACATCAGCTAATTCTTCCTTTTTTTTTTTTTATTTTTGGTGAATCATGCACAGTATACTAGAGATCTGATATGCAGAGGCTGAAACAGTAATTACAGAGTCACTGTGTGGAGCCCTGTGAGATGATGCCCTTACTGTGAAGCATTCTGTTTTGTCAATAAGCTTACATCAATACTTGGCAGGTCATTTATGCAGTTTTAATGCTTCAGAATATAAACTAGACAAAGTGACTAATATCAAATTGGAGCTGCTTTGCATCTGCAATTGACAAATCCTATTTTGAAAACATGCATGAACATGAGGATCAAACTTAGCTTTTAACATTTACATTTCTTTCCAATGGGGAAGTGTCTGATCCACTTCTAATTTACCTGTTGTTGATTTCCTGATTCTTTCCTAATCCCTTGCAGCTGAGATGTCCTCACCATGGAGAAGCAATTAACAAAGTCCCTGACTGGAGTGTATGAAGCATTTGTTATGGAAGCATAAAAGGTTAACCTAAATCCCAGCACACAGAGATGTCAGACTAGAACAAATCAGCACGGAGAATTACCTGGAGGCACCACAAGGTTAAGGTGGAGCATATGTATCATAAAAAAGTTGTTTATGACTAGCAGAATTAATTTTTCAGAATGAGAAGGTCAAACATGCAGAAATGTGGGCTGCCCATGACGAGCAGAGATTGTTTTAGGCTCCAGATTTAACCTGGCAAACACTGAGTTGGAATATTTTTCTGGTATGTCTAAACTGAAAACACTTAAGGATTACAAAGATGCCACTAACTGTCTTCTCTGAACAGACTTAATGCTTATCAATCAGCTACATTTTCATCCAAATATATCTTGTAGTAGGTTCAGCAGATTGATCAAATTGATTCTCAAGAAGGCTATTCCCTTTTGCCTTACCTGATAATGTAAGCTGTTTTAACCCTTCAGATCCAAGTCCTTCAGTCTGCTTCAAACTCAGGGCATGCAGTGCATCTTGCAGTGTGTGTATTAATTGCTGAATTCCAAATCTAAATACTGTGGGTTCTATTATATCTGAGATATCTATTATATCTTGGTTACATCTGAGCCAGTATTTTAAACTCATGAAGTATATGTGTGTCTGATAATTATAAAATTTTGGAAACATTCTGATTAGATCTTCATATGATATAAACAGGCATTGTTCTTCCACTGCCTCTGTTCATTGAGGTATATGTTACCACGTACTCACTTCCAGCTGTTTCTAGGGTAAAGTTTAATTGCAGGACATTTGGGTGTTCTCCAAAGGATTTGCAGTGGCATATGATTTTGTCTAAAATCTGTTCTAAATTAATTTTATTTCATACTCAACATTTGCATGTATGTTTTTCAATATGTAAACACTCATGCATTAGTGTACGTATGCTAGCACTGTTGGAGCTGGCACAACAAAAATGTGTATATGCTGGAAGGAATTCAGGGAGAGAAAAACCTACCAAAGAGATTGGAGATTGAAAGGACCAATTAGTGGGAAAAGATTAAATGGCCTGATTGTGCCCTTTTCATGCAGGCAAAATTCAATGGAAGATTATGTATTTGGTTTTGGAGGCAGTGAAGGATAACAGCTAGAAAAGGAGATGTAGTCAGGGAAATACTAACTGAAGAAATATGATAACCATCTCAAATGCTTGAATAGAGAAGAAATTTAAAATGTAGTTCAGAACAACAAAATGAAAATAAAAAGGTTAAATTAACTATAGAAAAAGAACTTACAGAAAGAAGAAAGGTGAACAGCAATAAAAGGAGAAGAAAAATAAGTCAATGAAAATAAAATGCTGTATGATGTGGAATGGTGGCCCCAGGGAAGCTAGGGAGAATCTATTGTTGGGATAATTTAAAATGTAACTACTCCAAGCATCAAAGGATTTCAAGGCTAGAAAAGGTGGGTATTTTGAAAGCATGGAGTAATGGACCATGGGTGTTCTTATCTCTGATCTGTGTGTGTATTTAAGCAATTATGAATACAGTAATGCTTAAAAAAAGGATAGGACTTGCATGTGGAGTTGTTGCCTAGAAATTTAAATGTTTGACTTTATGTCTAGAAGGTGCAAATGCAAGGTTTTATCCTCATCATATTTCTCTTACTCTCTATTTTGTTTATTTTTTCAGGTCCTTAATGAACTTCAAATAAGATTTTTAGTTGGATTTCCATGAAGAACTCATTCTATTTGGGTGTGCATCTACAAACAGATCGCCCATCCAGACAGCCATGGTCTTTCACTTCTCAATACTTGGGTATTTACAAGTACTGAGTCCCTGGAAACACTGGTTTTGCTTAGTACTATGCTACATGGTCTAGTGGGCTTCTAGATGGAGATGACTTTTTTGTCTTCCACACATAGAATTACAAATATTCCAGACTTCAAATACTTAAGAAAGAAGTTTGGCTGCTGTTTTCCCTTCGTAGTGGAGTGGTTTTGTTTTTGTTTGTTTGTTTGGTGGTGTTTTTTTTTTGTTTGTTTGGTTTTTTTTTGTTTGTTTTGTTTGATTTGGTTTTCTTTTGGGTGAGGAATTCTAGTCATCTGGAATTCGTTTGTTTTCAATGTGCTATTGAACTTTTTTTCCCGATTCACTAAAAACAGCTGCAAAAAGTACTTTCTATGACCTTGGTGGTGCGAGTGAGATGTTTACTTTCATTACTCTATGCTGTGTTTAGCTCATTATGTAAGTCTTTGACAATTGCTAGGATATTTTAGATGGTTTACTTCATTTTATATACTGCCTGTAGACAGTTCTTCTATGACAAAATGCAAATTCCCTTCTTGGAGCAACAAAAGAAATGTCAGCATCAATAATGAAGTAACTGGTTATTAGATTTGCATACCAACTGATGTGTTTAGGGGGTTTAGATTATTTCATTACTTCTTACCTCCTTCCTGAAGGTTAATGCTCTGGTTAGACAATCCTGTTTACCACTGCTAATATGTCCCATGATTGATTTGAGTCACCTTATCAACATTTTTGATTTATTTCTTTTCCATTTCCTTTAGGGTATACCTGCCTTTTAGAAATGGGCTATAGGGAGAAATCAGAACTAATGCAAAACTGTGAGTATTTCTTTCTGTTCACGACCAGGTATAAATGCCCTATGTGCATTTTGTCAATGTTGCTTTTATGAGTATCTATAGTTCAACTTTTCAGTCTGTGACATGCAACTATTCTTTGAACTCTCACCTTTTCTTTCTGTGTCACAAGTTCCCTGCATACATACAAGCTATCACGTCCTAGACAAAAAGGTGTATTTTGGCAATGAGACAGTTCTGATTTTTAAAACCAGTTTGCTTTAAAATTTGCTTGCCACACAGCTCTGCCTATGAGAGGAAAGGATTCAAGTTTTTAATGTTCTGTAGCTTTGTAATAGAATACTTTTCATTTTGTTTCTGTTTTAATCTTCTACAGATTATTATCTTTTCTTCTTCTGAGACAGTATCTGCAGTGTCCTTTTTTTTTTTTTTTACAGAAAAGGAAAAAAAACCCAAACACTCCCACCCCTTGCACTATCTTAAGTAAAAATGTGAAAATTCCCCAAGTGGGAGAAGGGAGGAAAAAAAAAAAATGTGAAAAATAAAGATTGTCAACTGATTTGAAATATAAGTGAACTGTGGCCTAATGGAAAATTCATACTTTGACAGGTTTTTTTTCAGAGGTTTGCCTTATCAATGTTTATTATTCTGAAATCTGTATAAATATAAACTAACTTATTAATATACTGCTAAACTTTGTGTTGTGCTTGCTATTTTCAACTGCTGACTCGTAATGTTTAAGTTTTAATGGTTAGAGTCTTCTATCTGTATTTTCATAACCATATCAAAAGTGCTAAGTGTTAAACACTGCTGAGGAGCAGATGTACCTACTTTTATATAATCCTAGTCTCCCACCTAGTGTTTCAGGTGACATCAGGGCATATAGCTTAGCAGTTGATTATATTTACACTTACTGCCACGTGAAGAACATCTGTTATAAATAGTGGTGTGAGAAAGTGTCAAGAAGTGAAATACTGTCAGAATTAAAATTGACGCTGTCTTTCATCAATGTTGAGATTGTCAGAGCTTGTACAAGCCAGCCCTAACTATCTGCAGCAGTCTGGTGCCAGCCTGCTGTTAAATAACCAACATTTAACAAGAAATAGCACGTAGATGTGCTGTGTGGTTTAAAACGTTGTGTTAAGCATCATTAAAAAATGAGTTTCCTTTAGAGCCTTATTAAAAAAGTCCTTCTTCTCTCTGTAATAAAACATTTCTCTCTGTTTCAATTAAAGCTCTAACAATACAAACAAAATGCCTCCTAATTCAGTACCACACTGTAGAGCCTCTGTTACTGTCAAGTTGCAAAGGCAGGTGGAAAAAAGTAAGTATCTTTGCAAACCCCTGTCTAACCAGGAAATGAGAAGCATCAGATGGTTATATTTTCTTGGTTTTCTCAAGTCCAGCATCACTGTTAAGTTTTATATTTGTAAATATTTCATTACCTGTGGTTCACTATTTATGTGAACCACAGGTAGTGAAATATTTACTTGTGAGACCTCACTTGGAGTATGTTATACAGTTCTGATGTCCAAAAAGGACATGTAACTGTTGGATCAAGTCCAGAGGAGGGCCACGAGGATGATCAGGGGCTGGAGCACCTCCTGTATGAAGACAGGCTGGGAAAGTTGGGGCTGTTCAGCCTGGAGAAGAGAAGGCTGCGTGGAGACCTCATAGCAGCCTTCCAGTATCTGAAGGGGGCCTACAGGGGTGCTGGGGAGGGACTCTTCATTAGAGACTGTAGTGACAGGACAAGGGGTGACAGGTTCAAACTTAAACAGGGGGAGTTTAGATTGTATATAAGGAGGAAATTCTTTACTGTGAAGGTGGTGAAGCACTGGAATGTTTTTGCCCAGGGAAGTTGTGAATGCTCCATCCCTGGCAGTGTTCAAGACCAGGTTGGATGAAACCTTGGGTGATATGGTTTAGTGTGAGGTGTCCCTGCCCATGGCAGGGGGGCTGGAACTAGATGATCTTAAGGTCCTTTCCAACCATAACTATTCTATGATTCTATGTTAGCTGTAGTTCCCTTTATGTAGTTTATTGGCAGCATGGTTTAGGATTCACAGAAGCTGGCATGCTGAACATATCTGCCTAAGCTGGTTGATTGAGTGATGTTCAATTGCAAACTGATGATGTGAAATATTCTTAATTTGTCTGGGAAAAAAATAATGGTAGTACATATATGCTTGGGCAGTGTACCAGCAACCTCACTGTGTTTAGATTGAATCAAGTTCTTCCTAACACTAGCTGTGCTTTTGAAAGACATTCATACAGCACAAACTTTGCCCTTGTGGAGCCCCACAGACTTCCTATTGGTTGGTGAATGTTACAGCAGTGGGAACTTCATAGCTTAATAGAGTGGCCAAAACAAACATGCCCAATTACATTCTCTTTGGTGTCAGGTCTTAATTATAAGACACAATTGGAATTTGATCCTCTATGTTAGACACTTAGGAGATTTCAGAGAACCCAATATCCCCAAAAGCTTCTTAATTCCCTTGGAGTCTTGAAATACTAGCAGAGTCCTAAAAATGGTGATAAAATATTAGGCATATTTAGTAAAGCATCTATAGACCTGATCTGATACGCCTGAAAGGAAAAAATCTGGAGGTAACCAAAGAGATGTTTTCTTATGCTGTAAGAAGTTAAAAATAAAAGCTTGAGCAAGATAAAACACTGCCAACAGGTGGGTACTAAATGCTTGTATCATACTGTCCTGGGTTCAGCAGCAGCAGTCATTTTTTCTCCTTCTTGGTAGCTGGTGCAGTGCAGTGTTTTGACTTTCAGCTCGGGAACAGAGCTGATAACAAGGATGTTTTGGTTTGGCCAAGGACTTTGTGAGCCTCATGCTCTGCCAGGGAGGAGGGGAAGCCGGGAGGAAGCAGGGACAGGACACCTGACCCAAACTGACCAAAGAGGTATTCCATACCACAGCACGTCATGCCCAGGATGTAACTGGGAGTTAGCCGGAAGGGCTGGGAGACTGCAGGGTTGGAGGAGGTATCGGTCGGAGCTTGGTCGGGCTTGGGGGCTGAGTTATCGGTCAGCTGGTGCTGAGGTGTTGTATTCTCTTCCCTTGTTATTTCCTTTATCATTATTATCATTGGTGGTAGCAGTAGTGATTTGTGTTATACCTTAGTTACTAAACTGTTCTTATCTCAACCCGTGGGAGTTGCATTCTTTTCGATTCTCCTCTCCATCCCTCCGAGAGCAGGGGGAGGGCAAGAAAGGGGGGGGAAGTGAGTGAACGAGTTGCCTGACTGGGTTTAAACCACGACACATACTCGGAGAATTAGTGATTGTGCTTCAAACTATTTGTTTTAAATGATATCTGTTGCAAATTATTTTTTAAGTCAGATGAACCCAGTTAATACTGATGTATTTACAAGTTTTCAGTTTTTCAAACTAAATATCCCTAAAGCCAAATTTTCACATATGAACTCCCAAGTATTCATAGAATCATGGAATGGTTTGGGTTAGAAGGGACATTAAAGCTCATCTAGTTCCAGCCCCAGCCATAGGCAGGGACACCTTCTACAAGACCAGGTTGCTCCAAGCCCCATCCAGTGTGGCCTTGAGCACTGCCAGGGATGGGGCAGCCACAGCTTCCCTGAGCAACCTGTGCCCAGTGCCTCACCACCTTAAAAGGGAAGAACTTTTAGCTAATGTCTAATCTAAGTCTGCCCTCTGTCACTTTAAAGCCGTTAACTATTATTTAACCTATGATGAACTTATCAACCTATGATGTTTCTTTGAGTTCCAACCCAGCTCTTGTGAGAATAATTAATAGGGAGACTTTCAATTAAAATTAACTGTAAGGTTAAAAGTGTGTTACTTATTCCTGTCAGTCTGTTTAAGGAGTGCTGCCCTCCTTTCTGGAGGCATATGCTTCTAAAAGAGATCATCCTACTGAGCCAGTGGTGCCTCTTTCACTTTGAAAATCCATACGTTGGTGATGCGGGAGTCATGGACAACGCAGAGATGATCAATGTGATCAAGCGATTGCCAAATTTATTACAAAGCCTTAACTCCTTATATACTATTTCTTACATGCACTTACAGTGATTTGGCATATTATGATTGGATACATGTCTTGAAGACCCTTAGTGACTAACATATAATTGGTTAAGCACAGGTGTGAGAACTTGACCTCAAAAGCTTGCCAACAGTCCACAGTTCTCATTAACTCAGTGAATTCCAGCTTCTTCTTATCTTGCTTGCTTAAGCTTCTTCGGGCCTCTCATGGCCTTGCTGTATCTTTCAGGATTATTCAGAGTTTATGTACTAATTATGCATTCTCCTGTGAGAATACTGTCTCCACAATAGATAATACTGATTCTTACTGGTATGGTCAGGGAGCTTGAAACTTAATGTTGTAATCAAGGTCCTAAGTCCTGCCATTCTTCGTTTGCAATATAATTATATTCAGAGAAAAATGACATTTAAAAATGTTAATATGTAACAGTGGATCTTCTCCAGATAGGGTTTCAACAGGTTCAATAAATTGTGGCATTTGAATCAGCATGCATTTATCTATATATGGTATGTGTCATTTTTACAGCTTGAGTGTAGCCAACAACACCCTGTTAATATGAAGTTTGTTGCTGTTGTGAGGTGGTGATTGTACAATATGTACAGTTTGGTGTCTCTTTGCTTTCTTTATTATGAAAACAAAGATGTTAAAAGAATTTTTTAGGCTTCTTAATGTACATAATTTTCATTTTTGGCAGTGCAGCATAGGTTTAATTATTGCTTCACTGAAGTCTTGGCTTGTGTCTGTTGAAATGCAAATAATACTGTAGAAAGAATGAATGGCGTTGTATACCCACAACAAATTTCACTGCAGCCTGTAGCAACTGGTTTAGATCATGTTATTAAAAGCTGAAAATGTATTGATTTCTCATGGTCTCAGAAGAGCAATGCTTTTTCTCGTGTTCTAAGTAAAAATAAACCAATAAATGGCTGCATTAATGATGCTATTACTGGGTAGTAGCAGTATGTTTCTTAATGTCTCGGGCCTC